CATTGAAGTAAAGTCCAATGGAGGTAACATGTATTTCCTTACTTTCATTGATGAATTCACCAGACATATATGGATTTACCTTATTGAAAGGAAGAGTGAGGTATTCACACAGTTCAAGAAGTTCAAGTTGCATGCTGAGAAACAAAGTGGCTGCAAATTGAAGAAGTTAAGAACCGATGGTGGTGGTGAATATACTTCTACTTAATTTTCCAGATTTTGCAATGAGGAAGGTATAGAGCATGAGGTTGTTGCATCCTATACGCCTCAGCATAATGGCATAGCTGAGAGAAAGAATAGAAGTGTGCTGAACATGACAAGATGTATGTTGAAAGCTAAGAATATGCCTAAGAGATTTTAGGCTGAAGCAACTTTGACAACAATATACATTCTAAATAGATGCCCAACAAAGAAAATGGTCGAAAAGACACCACATGAGGCTTGGACAAGGTCGAAGCCAAATGTAAGTCATCTTAGAGTTTTTGGACCAATGTGTTTCAGGCATGTACCTGAATAATTGAGAAAGAAGCTGGATGATTGAAGTGAAGTCATGGTGCTCATAGGTTATCATTCGACTGGTGCATACAAGTTGTATTCACCAATTGAAGATAAACTAATGATCAGTAGAGATGTTCTTGTAGACGAAAGCAAAGGGTGGGATTGGAGTCGAAGTTCAGTTCGACAAGAATCAGACACAATCACAACTGTGTTCGAAGAAGATGAAAAGAATGAAGCTTCGACAAGTCAAAATGAACAAGGTGATACTTTGACTGATCGAAATGAAGAACCACTTGTGCATGATGAAAGAAGATCCACAAGAACAAGAATTGAGTCAACTAGGCTGATTGGATATGAGAGGTTTCCATATCAAGTAATCGATGCCGATGGTGACTTAATCGAAGAAGCCATGATGATGGCCGAAGCAGAACTAATTGACTTGGGTGACGCCTTGAGCAATTCGAATTGGTGTGAAGTCATAAAAGAAGAACTTAGAGCCATTGAGAAGAACAACACTTGGGAGCTTGTCGAAAGAACCAACAAGAAACAAATTGATGTGAAATGGATCTACAAGGTGAAATAAAGGCCAGATAGTGAGATTGCAAAGTACAAGGCAAGACTGGTGGCCAGAGGTTTTCTACAACAACCAGGTATTGACTTTGATAAAGTATATGTGCCTGTTGCGAGGATCGAAACAATCAAGATTGTTGTTTCAATAGCTACATATAGAGGATGGAAAATGCACTAACTTGATGTAAAGTCAGCATTTTTTAATGGTCCATTGCAAGAAGAAGTCTATGTTACTCAACCACCAGGTTTCGACATCAAAGGGCAGGAGTCGAAAGTGTACAGATTAAGGAAGGCTATCTATGGCTTGAAGCAAGCTCCTATAGCTTGGAATAAAAGGATAGATAACTTTCTAAGTGAAGCAGGTTTCACAAAGTGTGTCTATGAACATGGAGTGTATGTAAATGATGTCGAAAGTGTCAATCGAATCATTTTATGCCTCTATATTGATGACTTACTCATTACAGGAGCAGACGAAGCTGAGATAATGAAGGTAAAGTCGAAGTTAATGCAGGAATTCAAAATGTGTGATTTAGGGAATCTCTCCTATTTCTTGGGAATGGAATTCAAAGACATCGAAGAAGGAGTGTTCTTGCATCAAACGAAGTATGCTCAAGATATATTGAAGATGTTCAATATGAGCAACTGTAAGGCAGTTGTTATTCCATTAGAGACTGGAGCAAAGCTGAAAAAGGAATCAAATGATGAGTTTGTAATTTCGACTCTTTACAAATAAAGCATTGGATCCTTGAGGTATCTTTGTAATACTAGACCAGATATCTATCAAAGTGTAGGATTCTTGAGCAGATTTATGGAGAAGCCTCAGGAATGTCATCTCAGTGTAGTAAAAAGGGTGTTGAGATACATCAAGGGAACCATTGATCGTGGTGTGCTATTTCCAAAGAAGTCGAAGAACAATACAAATGTCGAAGTGCAAGGATACACTAACTCAGATTTCAGTGGAGATCAAGATGAAAAGAAGAGTACTGCAGGATATATTTTCATGATCGAAGGAGCTCTAATATCCTGGAGTTCAAGGAAACAAAGCATTGTGGATTTGTCATCATGTGAAGCTGAATATGTGGCTCCATCATATGTTGCATGCCAAGCAGCATGGATCGAAATGCTACTTGAAGAACTCAGAATAATAGAATCAAAGATGAAGTTGTTTGTTGATAACAAGTCAACTATAAACCTTGTAGATCACCCAATTTGTCATGGTCAAAGTAAGCACATTGAACGAAGGTATCATTTTTTGAGAGATCAAGTCAAAAAAGGGAAGCTTGAAATAAAACATTGCAAGACAGAAGTGCAACTAGCTCACATATTCACCAAACCTCTGAAGAAAGTGAGATTCGAAGAGTTAAAGAAAGGCATTGGGATGAGAAGTCTTGATAACATGAATTAGGAGGTGTGTTAGTTGGTTAATTCTTGTTATGTGGTTATTTGGGCTTTTAGCATGTTTTGGGCCTGGGCGTCTTGCCTATATATAGGCCATTATTTGTAATTGAAGTAACAATAATAACTGAATTCAGTCCAGAGTTAGTTACACTTAACTCTCTCTCTCTCTCTCTCTCTCTCTCTCTCTCTCTCTCTCTCTCTCTCTTCTTCTTCTTCTTCTTCTTCTTCTTCTTGTTTTTCACAATATTTATCTTTCTTGAATCCTTTGTTCCAATAGAAATCACATTTTTTTACACGATTTTAGTTTTTGATCGACAAACTCTCAGTGTTTCATGTTAATGCCTTGTGAAATTGGTAAAAGATGTTATATATTACTTTCTTTATTTTAAAATGACTGTCGTTTTAGTAAATAAAATTTATTTTAAAACAAATGTCATTATCACTTTTCAATGTAAAAATAATTACTATTTTTTCAATTGTGTTTATTAATCATAACTATGTACACTACATTCTACGCACTTATAAGATTAACTTAATAAAAATATAATATCTTATGACAATATTATTACATTCTTTATTCTATGTTTACAAATCTTAAACGATAATCATTTTGAAATAACAAGTCCTTTATGAGTTACTCTTATACTATCTTATTTTATTCTTTTAATAAATCCCTAGCCATATTCTCATTTTTTTTCTTTTCATATAAATTAAAATCGTTAATATGGTATCAAAGTCAGACAAATGATATGTCAATATGACAACTGGACTCAATGATCATGAATATTAAAATTATATTATCTAACACTCTTATTTTTCATAAACTACATTTTATATTTGTTATGAATAATTGGATGATTTGTCTCTCAATAGCTTCATTTCTTATTTAATCAATTTGTATTTATTATATTGTCTTATGATATCCTATAAATAAGACTAATCTCATTGTATACGATTACATCGATGAAATAATACATAATCATTCTATCTTTCTCTCTTCTCTTTATTTCTTATTTCTCTTTATTTTATAATACGTTATCAGCAAGAAACTCTGACACTTAGAAGATAATATTTTTTTTATATTCTCTATGTGTTATTTATAAATATTGATTAGAAAATGAAAAAGAAAATCAGTGATGATTTTCATGCATCCTAAAAGGATTTCATGAATAATATTAAAGCATCTCTGAAGGATCGCAAAACAAATTACTCATATAGTTCCTGAAAAACTTATCAGGCTATCTCTGAAGAATAACAAAATAAATTATTTATATAGTTCCTTAAGAACTTATCAAGCTATCCTTGAATGATAGCAAAACAAATTATTTATATAGTTACCGAAGAACTTATTAAGCATCTCTAAAGGATAGCAAAACAAATTATTTATATCATGTATTTTTTTTAATTTATGTTTATTCGTATTTGTTTTTTGGATGCCTATTTTTTATTTAGAAATATTAATCCTACTTATTTAATAAATGAATTTGTTTTGTAAATTATTGGCACTTTCGTTTTGTAATACGCCGAACAAATTCTTGATAACGCTTTGTAATCATGTAATACACCGAATAAATTTGATATATATATATATATATATATATATATATATATATATATATATATATATATATATATATATATATATATATATATATATATATATATATATATATATATATATATATATATTGAAATATATTAACTGATTGTTGAAATATATTATTATTTTTATTAATTGTCAAAATTGATTGTACATCAAAATACTGAAATTTATGAATAAAAATAACTAATTACATATCTGAATTAATTGGAAAAACCTTCTATTTTTGAAATATAGATTTTTTTTAGTTATGAAAACAATAAGACATAAATTGTTTGTATGAACTTTCTATTTGTAAATAGTTTGTAAACTTTTTATTTAACCTGATTTGTTTGAATATTTAATTTTAGAGATATTTATTGGTTTTTTTATATTTTAAATAGAATTAAGTATGTAAAATCTTGAAAAACTTGACTTTGAGGCTCTTGACATATGGGAAAAGAATTATTTTTCTTGGGCTCAAGATGCTGAAATCCATCTAAATGCATAAGGTCGCAGTAATGATATTAAAGAAGGAAATACATCATCTCATCAACAAAAGACAAAAGCCATGACATTCCTTCGTCGTCATCTTCATGAGGACCTTAAAAATGAATATCTTACCGTAAGTGATCCATGTGTTTTGTGAAAAAATTTAAAAGAGATATATGTTCATAAAAAATTGGCTATTCTACCAAAAGATCATTATGATTGGATGCATTTATGCTTGCAAGATTTTTAAAAAGTAAGTAATTATAATTCTGCAATGTTTAGAATAATCTCTAAGCTTACATTATGTGGAGAAAAAGTAACCGATGAAGATATGTTAGAAAAAATATTCTCCACTTGTCATGCATCCAATATGATCTTATAACAACAATATCGATAAAAAAAGGTTTAATAAATACTCTGATTTGATTTCTTGTCTTTTGTGGTTGAACCAAATAATGAGCTCTTGATGAAAAATCATAAGGCTCGTCCCTTAGGAACAACTCCATTCCCAGAAGTGAATATAGAAAGACACAATCACTATGTGCAAAATCATGGTCGTGGTCATGTGTGTGGCCGCGATCGTGGTCCTGTGTGTGCCCATAATTATGCTCGTGATATTAATTTTGATCATAGCCGCAATGACAATCATAAGAATGCATCTTTTCACCAGAAGTGGAAAGATACTGAAAAGAATGAAAAAGGTGGTCAAAGTAGAAAAAATAAAGAAAACATTTGCTATCATTGTGGGGGGAAAGATCACTGGGGTCGCACTTGTCGTACACCATGTTGATCTTTATAAAAAATTATTAAAAAGTACAAGTACAAGGATTGAGACACATTTTTCTAATGAAGATGGTCATCCTGATTATGGCAATATGGATGTTACTCACTTAGAGATTGGTGATTTCTTTGTTGATCTAGATGGAAAAATTGATCACCTTATTGGAGATGGAACTGTCAAGAAATAAAAGTTATAAGAATTTTCTATTTATTTTAGTTATTATAAATGCTTTGAATTCTCAATATTTTTTTTATTTAATTTTAAATTCAATATTTGCTTCCTGTTTTTGAATTTTAATTCCCTATAATAATAAAATGTGTTTGCTTCTTGTTCATTTATATAATCTATTGTTTAAATAACTTGTATGTTTAAAGTGCACTCATAACTCATTATTTTTTTTAGAAGAATGAATATCGACACTTGCACCACTAATGAAGATATTTGTCTCGCTGATAGTGCAACTACTCACAAAATTTTAAAATAAAAAATATTTATCTTACTTAATAAAGTAAAATACTGATGTCAGCATTATATCTGGCACCTCAAAAATAATTGAAGACTCTGGAAGAGCCAGTGTATTATTAAGTGGAGGAACAATATTACACATTGAGAATGCATTATATTCCTCTAAATCTAATAGAAATTTATTAAGTTTTAAAGATATTCGCCTAAATGGCTACCATATTGAAACAAAAGATGATCGAGGTATTGAATATCTTTGTATTACACAACAGAATTTGGACATAAAATGTGTAATAGAAAAGCTACCGGCTTTTTTCTCGGGCTTGTACTACACTTATATTAGTACAATTGAAGCACATGCCATTGTAAACCAGAAGTTTACAAATAATAATAAATTTATAATTTTGCATTACCGATTGGGACATCCCGGTTATATAATGATGTGAAAAATAATTGAAAATTCATGCGGTCATCAATTAATGAGTCGGAAAATTATTCAATCAAATAAGTTCTCATGCAACTCTTGCTCGCAAGGGAAGTTGATAATTCGGTCATCACCAACAAAAATTGGAAATAAATCTATCAATTTTTAGAGCGTATATATGGTGATATTTGTGGACCTATACACCCATCATGTGGACCATTTAGATATTTTATGGTTTTAGTTGAACTAGATGGTCACATGTTTGTTTATTGTCAACTCGCAACCAAGCGCTTGTAAGATTGTTAGCTCAACTAATTCAAATAAGAGTTTAATTCCCTGATTATCCTGTCAAGAAAATACGTCTTGATAATGCTGTAGAATTTTCATCTCAAGCATTTCATGAATATTGTATGTCTATTAGAATTGACATTGAACATACAGTAGCACATGTTCCTACACAAAATGGACTTGCATAATTATTTATCAAACGTATAAAATTAATTGCAAGACTGCTTATTATGAGATGCAAACTCCCAGTTTCTGCTTAGGGACATGCAATTTTGCATGCTGCAACACTGATTCACATCAGGCCAACGAGTTATCACACCTCTTCCCCTTTAGAATTAGTGTTTGGTAAAGAACCTAATATTTCTCATCTAATTTGTTTTTGGATGTGTGGTGTATGTGGCAATTTCTCTACCACAACACACTAAGATGGCTCCTCAAAGGAGGATGGAAATATATGTTGGATATGAATCTCCATCTATTATAAAATACCATGAACCAACAACAAGAGATTTATTCACTGCTTGTTTTGCTGATTGTCATTTTGATGAATCAAATTTTCCAGCATTAGGAGAGAGAATAAGAAGCTGGAAAAAGAGATCAGTTGAAATGAACTATCATGATCTCATCTTGATCCTCGAACGAAACAATGTAAACTAGTAGTTCAAAAGATAATTCACTCGCAAAGCTTAAGAAATCAACTACCAAATGCATTCACTGATCCAAAATGAGTGACTAAATCATATATACCAGTTGCAAATTGTTGTACCCCAAAATTTGCCCTCCCATATTTCTCAAAACATTTCAAGAAAAATTCACAAGTCCAACCCGGCGCGTCATATTCAGGTGTTCTTTCACCAAGATATCTCTGATAACGTATTCTCAAAATCAGGTTCGGCTCAAGAGTCAATTCTTTAAAGAAGGTATCCGAATGTGTGAGTTTTCTTGAAGAAATATGGTGAAAAAGTGTGCTGAAAGTGCAGTTTTTACGCGCTAAAAAAATTCATAACTTGAACATCGCGACTCGTTTTGAACCCGTTCCGGTGGCTAAAATTCCGTCTTGACATTATCTACGTTTTCATCTCTCATGGCTGGAAGCCAATTTCGATCAGAAGGTCTTCAAAAATGTGGATTTATCAAGTATTTTCATACAGAAAATTTGTGACAGAAGTTTATTTGCGTCATGTTCAGAAAATCATAACTTGGTCGATTTTCATCTTATCGAGCTGGTTCTGGTGCCAAAATTTCACAAATTGAGTTGGCTACATTTTCACAGAAGGTATTGAGTTCAAACGGTATTCAAAATGCCTTCTTTTTTTGCTCAGAGTGCGTGACACGCTGAAAATCCTGAATGCTGAATATTATTTCATCTGAGCCGAAACTTCGAAAATTCATAACTCGGTCAATTTTTATCGGATTGGACTCATATTTTTACACAAGATCACTGACTCATAGATCTACAACTTTGCTTCAAAAGTCGAGACCAAATTATGCACCGATCAATACCAGTTTTTTATTGAAGAACGTGTCAGAGTCGACACTGGAGCCCAAAATAAGTTTGTTTGAGCTGAAACTTCAAAAATTCATAACTAATTCACCATTTATCCGATTGAGCCGATTTTCGGACAGGAGTTAGTTATCGATGTCGGCTACATTTTGTTTTCACATTTCAACTTCAAAAATTGCACTTAAGTCCCTGCGATTTAGCCTGGAAAGTGACGAACTCAAGTGAACATTGGAGGCCCAATTGCACATTCAAAGCCCATTTTCTTTACCCTAATTTCCATTATATAATCACCTTCTTTTCACACAAACCAGAGAGGAGGAAAAGAGAGAAAAAACCTTGCCACAACACTGTTAGAATATCAAATTCTTTCAAGAACCCTAAAACCTTGAAATCCTTATTACAAATCCCTCTCTCACTACAAACAAGCCATCACAGTTACAAACCAACACCTCACTACTTCTTCAGTAAGGGTAAGGCTGGCTTGATCTCCATGATCAAAAGAGCATAAAAGCATTCATGTCACTACTTTTCCAGTAAGGGTAAGATTGATTTTATCTCCATGATCAAAAGGGTATAATCATTCATACATGCCATATTGTGCCTAAACATTAAATTTCTTCATATATTGGCTTTATTTGCATTTTATGATTTTATTTAATGTGTTCATGAGATTCAACACTGCAGATTTAGACAGGATCCCATGCAGGTTCATTAAGGAACGTTGAGGCCAAAAAACAAATGGCCAAAAGCCAAAAGCCAAATGGCCAAAGTAGAACAACTTATGCATGACACCAATACATGGCGAGACAGACATCCTGAGAAGCTTAAGGAACGTTGAGGCCAGAACACAAATGGCCAACAACCAGAACACAAATGGCCATGAAACCCAATCCAATGGCCAAAGAATGCAGACCACGGTACTCAGGAGTCAATGAACACGCACGTGATGCCAGAAAGTCAAACAAGGCTTTTTATCTAATGGGCAAGAATACTTCAAAAAAACCTCCCCTTGGGCCTGAAACCCCCATTGGTTTGCATCCTTTTTAATTTTATTTTATTTTCTTTTCTAATTCTTTTTTATTTGTTTTAATTTTTTTTTTCACCATAAAATAATTTTCTATAATAAAAATAGAAAAATAAAAAATACAAATATATTTAATTATTATTAATTTCATCACTAACATTTTTTTTTTTGTAAATAAAATCTAACCATTAACTTAGTTAATTTAGGTTTCAATTTTAACATTTTTCTTAATAAATTAAAATATGTAGAAATTAGGTTTTTTTTAATATTTTCATCCTTTTTTTAATAAATAATTTTCTCATTATTATTATTATTACTTATTAAATACTTTTGTAAATAAATATGTAAAATAATTAATTAGTGTAAATTAGGTTTTAAACTTTAACATTTTCTTTAATAATTAAAAACATTTAGAACTAGGGTTTCATTTAACTTCTAATTAATTTTCTTTATTTCCATTAAATACCAAAAACCTAAAAAACATTTCTTTTCTTTAATTTAATAATCAATTAGTTCTTTTAATTTAATTTAATTTCAAAAGGGTCCAACGCCCTCGAACGTTCTATTTTCTATTCTTTTCGCGCATTTATTCTTATTTTTCTTATAAATATTATGTAATTGCTCAAGCCATGTAATAGTAATTAGGTTTTACTCTCCGCATTTTTATTCAAAACGGGTCTTTGTTAATTTGGCGATGTATAGACCCGCGCCTTGTAATAGCGTAGGATTTTACTTTCCGCATTTAAATTTCCGCACTCTTAAAACTGCTAAACTTTGCATGAAAGAATGTACGGCCTAAATTAAAAACAAGCGTAGATCACCATGATACATGTACAAAATAAAACATAACTGAAAATAACACACAAATTCACACACCACTCTTAGGGTACGCCTCACTGTTGCCTTGCCCTCGAAACGTGGTCGTCGAGTATAGGACGTTTTAGTAAGTCCTTATGTCCATGATCTATGGCATAAGGGTAGCTTCTAAGGTGTCCTACTGTTGCTCTGGTGACCACACTGTCCCTAAACAAACGAATTGACCCGAACACCTCCAACGGTGGTGCTACCTATCTCTCAATGGTGGGATGACACTACCTTAAGGACATTTACACAGTCTAATTTCTTAGGGTAGGTAGATGACTCGTAGATACTTGCTCTATTAAAAAAAAACAAATCAAAACTCTTTTCACACCGACACTTTCAAAAAGCTTTCAAAACAATTTTTCAAACACTCTTGAGGACTGATACAAGAGTCATTCTGAAATCTTTAAACGAAACTTTTTCAAACCCACTCACACTTTGAAAAGCAAACATTTTGAAAACACAATGAGCAAGTATCTAAGAGCCCATGGATAACCATGGATAGAAAGGGTGCTAACACCTTCCCTTTCTATAAATCTACCTCCCGAACCGAGAAACTATCTCATAAGGAATTTTGTTGTGCTTTTGTCCTGTCCATGTTGGAGAAAATAAAAGACGGTGGCG